TACGTGCTTATACTTTTGGCAAAGTTATGAATCCTCTTCTTCTTCCCCCCAGCTATGGGTAAATAGCAGGACAGACCGTGTTCTATAACCTTGGACAGCAAGTGGTCTACAGCAGAAAGAAATGGCAAACTACTACGAAAACAAAGAATCAAGAAGTCATCCATGTATCGAAAGCGTGTATCACGCATGACACAGAACTGACTGAGTGAGTTTAGCTGGAAAGCAGGAAGCTGGAAAAAATTTCCAGAAGCGAGAAATGAAAGAGAATGAAATATTAGCATAGAAATTGCGGTTACAACTAGCAATCTCATCTGGGTAATTATGAGACCTAGCTACCAATCTAGTATCGCGTTCATATTGTCATGAAGTCTAGGTACCAAAGAGGAAGGCAAATGGAATCGACGGTGCGAAGGTACCTAAAACATGGATGCCAGGTCAGGACGAATAACGTATCATATTCTTCTTTAGATTGCATCTAGAATCACTCTGATATAATATGATAGCAATCAACATAGCAGATGTAAAAGATTAATTCGACGCAGAGACGAAAATGAAAAAATTATAAATCGGCAAGAAATTTTCAACCGAGATAATTGTTTTGCAGATTTTTTTTTTACAATTTCTTGGGAAACGTAAAATCATTTTGTTTTCACTAGCAATTAAATGGGTTTTAACAATGGGGAGCAAGAGTAAAGAGGCGTGATTAAAGAAATGGATTAAGAGAAGGACTGGAAAAAAATCTATGCTTCTGGATATGGTCATTTTTTTTCTCGCATTTGAATAGTTAGAGATTATAGCTATTTTTAAATTTGAAGTTATTATTTATCCATAGACGGGAAGTTGTTTTTTTATTTACATTAGAAGTTTCAAGTACCAAATTTAGCCGTTTCGACAGTGAAAGTTCTTTTGAGATGCCAAACTATTATTTGATTAATTCCTGCAGTTTGGGAAATAGCGAAAATAATCTTTCAGGCCATACCGTGAATGTATTTGTAGAAAATGTAAGATATAAAAAAAAAAATGTATCTACTAGAGTTCGACTGTAAACGAGATGCCAGATGAAAATATCACCATGAGATTGCATATCCGTGTCTGGATCGAATAAACTAAAAAAAAGATTGAAGTATAAACTTTTCATTTCAATTTTATCTTTCACTTTCATTGAAATAATTTATTGGGATATATATATATATATATATATATATATATATATATTTATATATATATAAATTCATACAAATGAAATAAGAATTTTACCCCAAAACATACAGGCCTTTCAATATTTTCAATACTAGAAAGTTTTTTTTTTTTTTTTTTATATTTGAAGCAGTTCAGGAATTTAATTCTCTGGGGCGAAATTCCATATAAATTGAAACATTTCAATTTTTTGTAATTCATTTTTATCCAAATAAATATACTGAAAAATCTTTTAACATCAGCTTTCCGTTTACATATTATTACGATTCACTTGGTTTATTACCCAGCAACAGATTTTTAAAATATATATATATATATATATATATATATATATATATTAATTTATTTAAAATTCTTAAATTTTCCATTTTAACATCCATTAGTTTTTAATGATATTTCACCAAAATTTTATTTATGTCTGGATCTTCAGGCTTCATTTTCAAACTAAAATTTTTAAAAAATGACATTAATATTTACACTTTTGAAGTAATTGTATTAAGGATATATAAACTGACATAGAGGGTGGTGATAATATATATATATATATATATATATATATATATATATATATATATATATATATATATATATGCATATAATCCTAACATTTAATGATTATAAATGTTTTTCTTCAATAAAAAAACAGCGCATGTGTGATTTGATTTGTAAACACAATTTAAAATCGTGTCCTCCATTGCTGTTAATTTCAGCCAGGGTGGTCTTGACCTGGTGTTTTTGGGCAATATTAATTGAAAAAAATGACAGAGTGCAGGGTACATCATCCGTGACCAAGGTAAACCTTCACGTTGGGCTATATCGGCTGTGGTTGCATACAGAGAGAAAAGTTCTCCGACATGACTACTTGGCAAAAACAGGATTGACCATGACTCCTTATTTTAACCTAGATATTTTAAGGGAACTTTTTAAAAATAATTATTTACCGAACAAAAGAGCCACTCATGGTAGAGGCTTACTGAACGGGGTTTGTTTTATTAGGTAAGGATTATATATTAGGTAAATATGTAGGATAGATAATGGTTGAATCAAGAAGTTAATATTATGGTGATAGAAAGCCACCTCTCTGGTGTCTGTTCCACAAATAAAAAACACTTTTGAAATAAACTATCTATATAACATAAGAATTTCCTTATTAAATGAAATACAAAAGGGCTCAACTATTGTGTAAATAAGATGGCGAGTTTGAAATGGTGAAACTAGAGATTGCAGGTCGTCAGAACATTTTCCATGGACATAGTAGATGGTTTTGTATATTTCTAATATATGCTCCTCCATACACTATCTTGTTTTGAACAGGAGTAAGGTTTTAAGCCCCAAAAAATGCATCTTCTCTTCTAACATTCAACATTTTATATAATAGATAGACAGAGAAAAAAAAACGTTTCACAACGTGTGTTTGTAACAAATACACAGCCCAACAGTATATGGACATGATCATAAAAAGGGAATTTTTTTTTTCCTAAATTCTTTTTCTTTAATATTGTAAATAAATATTGTATATATATATATATATAATATATATATATGTGTGTGTGTGTGTGTGTGTGTGTGTGTGTGTGTGTGTGCTTATTTTGATATAGAAAATTATTTATTATTGATATATTTAAGAAATTCCATACCTTCCTAAAATATTGTATTACCAACTATATATATATAAATATATATATTATATATATATATATATATATATATATATATATATGATATATACCTAACTCATAAATAAACGGTTAAAGAATTTGATATGTTTATCCAGACGTCTTACGTTACACCTATCTGATCACAGCTCCATTAGAACCTATTTAAAAACACACACAAATTTACTAGACTCCATTAGAAACTTACTAGTAGAAAACTGCATCTACCTGTAAAAAAAGATTAAAAATAATGGAAGATTTAATAATAAAAAAAGAAAAGGTCAACACTTAACAATATTAACTACGAAGAAAGCCACAATGTGCTAACCGTATTCGGAAATTAAAACATCTCTACTACACACCAAGACATACACATACTAAGACGTACACACTGAATTAAGCTGAAAGATCGAATCCTCCTTGATAATGGCTAAAGGTATAGCCGAAAGCGCTCGGAAATATAAAACATTTGGACAGTTTTTACACCCCTTTGTCCAGAAAAAGAAAGCTCTTGTCAGAACACAAGAAAAATTAAATATATATATATATATATATATATATATATATTTATATATATATATATATATTAAATGTGTATGTCTGTGTATCACACTTTTTTAAATTAAATATATATATATATGTCTTCAATAACTCATGTTACAGAAATTTTGGACGCCCAAATTTTCTTTACTGCGACTTTTTACATGATTTTTTGTAATGATTTTTTTTTTGTACGATGATAATCTTTTTAACTTGGAAATAAATTTGGGAATAATCGAAATTAATTGCGAAATCTAGCGAAAGTGACCCATGAAATGAAAAATAATTGTTCCTACTGAAAGTAAGGACCTACGTACATCAAACTGTCTTTAAATAAAGCGGCGGCAGAAGAATTATCGTTGAACTTTTAAAAGGCGATCTTGAATGCAATACTTAAATACAGCGATCAGTTATTGAGTTCTTCTGTAGATTATTGTTGCCTATCACTTACGGCAGCAGTATAACTCGCAAAAAGAAATCTTTGCCAACCTGATGGTAATCGAAGGAATCTAGGCTGCTAATAGAAAAATAATTTAATGGTAAATGTTTTGATTGTGGCTCTGTGCCAGGACTCATCATTTGAACTTGAAATGGCGAGATGTCTTCGTAGTTCTATGCTAACAGATTCTTGTGGAACTCTATTCCGGTTCCTTGCTTTCCTGTTGAATTTGTTTGATCTGCAAAAATTTAAATCGTTAATTTATGCCTTCTTAATTCCTGTTAGCTTACGCTCATTTTACCCGCCTCCTTATCAATTGATATTATTTTTATTGCTTTTGATTCTCCTTCCTTTTCAAAATTGTCCATCTCTTTTATTTCATTTGCATTGTTTCTTTTATATATATCTGCACACGCATTATATATATATATATATATATATATATATATATATATATATATATATATATATATATATATATATATATATATATATATATATATATATATATATATATATATATATATATATATATATATATATATATGAAATATAAATAAAATATAAATAAATATATATATGTATAATTATTTATATATTATATATATTACTTATTAAAAGCGCTCAATATCAGAGATAGAGCTAATTATTGGTTGGATAGAGTTTGTTTTACGCTTTGGGTTTCACGTGAAACCCAGGGTCAGACAACTGCATCTATCCAACTCCTATATATATATATATATATATATATATATATATATATATATATATATATATATATATGGTAAATGTTTTGATCGTGGCTCTGTTTTAGGACTCATCATTTGCAGGATAAAATTTATATATTTACCTTGATAATGTATGTCGATGAGAGGACACACACACACACACACACATATATATATATATATATATATATATATATATATATATATATATATGAATTTGTTTGATCTGCAAATATTTAAATCGTTTCGTCCAAATATTTATATATATGTATGTATGTATGTATGTATGTATGTATGTATCTATGCATGCATTTTAAAGACAATACAGATATTTGTTCCACGAGTGCACGTTTAAAAAATAGTAGAATGAAGGAGGTCCCAGAAAGTGATCACAAGATGGAAGAAGGAGAAATGTAACATACACGTTAACCCCTTAAGAGAATGTCTCTTTTCCCCTTGAAATACAGAGAAATCCATAAAAAAAAGCCATATAGACGCCAAAACGCGCCAAAGGCACCTTTTTCCCCCCAATGGCCATACCCGCCCGTCTGTTTCGATTTTTGAACCAATGACCAGGTTCCGTTTCGGGTAAAAGGAGATAACGCGGCGTTTTTGTCTTTTGCAATTTCAGGCCCCATGCAGATTTCACAAGAAGCAACCACGGTTATGACAAACAAGAGGCAGGAATGCGCCGGTTGTAAGAAAAAGATAACAGAACGTTATCTGCTGAAAGCACTTGACCAATATTGGCACGAAGACTGCCTCAAGTGTTCCTGTTGTGACTGCCGGTTGGGCGAAGTGGGTTCCACACTCTACACCAAGGCCAACCTCTTGCTCTGTAGGAGAGACTACCTTAGGTGAGTACATTGATTTATAGATTTAAATTTCGGAACTCATGTACGGGCGTGTTCCATCACGGACACATACATATATGACATTTTGTAATTGTATATATATATATATATATATATATATATATATATATATATATATATATATTGAACAATAAAAAATATTAAAAATTAATAAAAAAAAATTAAAATCTTCAGACACACTGGGTTGTAGATTAATATTCTTTCGTTTTTTATTATTATTATTTCATTTAGATTCCTCGACTAGTTTCGGCTAAAATGGCCATTATCGGGAGAAAAAATATTTCTGCTTGTTGGTAGCAGTAAACTACAGAAATGAATGTATTGATGGAGAAAATGAACTTTTTAGTTTTTTATTTTTTTTTCTTTTTTTATCTTTTAACATGAATCTATATATATATATATATATATATATATATATATATATATATATTCATTCATATATATCATTCATATATATATATATATATATTATCTTTTAACATGAATCTATATATATATATATATATATATATATATTCATTCATATATATCATTCATATATATATATATATATATATATATATAATTTTTATGTTATTTATATAGACACAAATATTTAAGAAAATTCTCTGTTTTTTTTATAAACAGTATTAACAACATTTACCGTCCCGAGCGTCCGAGAAATTTTCATAGAAAATATGAGTCCCCCGACAGGAAACGAACCTGCATTCTACACAGGACCGTCATATAGTATAGGACATTGGTTCGACTCCTGTCGCGGGACGCATATTTTCTATGAAAATTTCTCAGACGTTCAAGCCGGTAAATGTTGTTAATACTGCTTATAATAAACAGAGCATTTACTTAAATATTTGTATCTATAAAAAGAACGTATAAACAGAAGCTAACTTAAAATAATTGTCGGATCTTCTCCATTTCATAGTGTGTTACGTCATATATCTATCTATCTATCTATATTTATATATGTATATATATATATATATAAACTTCTGATTACGAATATTTTTCTTCTGTGTATAAACACATGTTGCAGAATAAAATCTTTATATTTACCTTGATAATGTAGATGAGGAGACTAGACACGTCGGCTAAGATGAATTTTCCTTTTGGATTTATTCATATATATATATATATATATATATATATATGTGTGTGTGTGTGTGTGTGTGTGTGTGTGTGTATCCTCTCATCGACATACATTATCAAGGTAAATATAAGATTTTTTTATCCTGCAACAAGTATTTATACAGAAAGTAAAAACATTCAAATAATCAAATATATATATATATATATATATATATATATATATATATATATATATATATATATATATATATATAGAATTGATATTTAATTGTCAAGATATACGAATGCTGCAAAAAACAGGTTCCCTATATATTGGAAAAGACTGGGTCATTTACAAAATACTTCATCTTTTATTTTGGTTTTATTTCATTTATTAAAAAAATACTTTTAATGTTTAATATCTGTCTATATTTCTGAGATGAGGTATTGCAATTATTTACATTCATCGGACTGTTGTCCTCATTGTTATTGCTATGTTTACGACGTTTCTGTCGCTGTACGCTCCGACCTTCTTCAGGATCTGTTTATATTTCTGAAATGAGGTATTGCAATTATTTACATTCATCTGACTATTGTCCTCATCTTTATTACCATGTTTTACGACTTTTTTCCGTTGTATACTCCGGCCTTCTTCAGTTAACAGGATCTTCGGACTGAACCCTTTATTTCATCCACCGGGTAGAGAGTTCTAGTTCCACGTGCCATACCTCTTGGGGACGTCTCAGTTTTCTCCTTTTAACTCGACTCTCAAATTTTTGTTTTGTTCATTACTTCAGTAACCAGGTATTGAACTCACAACTCTTTGGGTCAAGTAACTGGATCCAACCAACGCTTTTATCCACTGTACCATTGTCCTCAATGAATTAATGTTTAATTGTCATGATATATCAAGGCCGCGCAGCCGGTTCTCTAGTTATTCCAAATCACGGCATCACTTTTGGATAGATCGTGTTATTGCTCAAAATCTAGGTTTTTTATTTTATTTTAATTTCATTAAATTTTATTTATTAAAATAATATATAATTTTCTGGTATTGAATTTTTAACTAATATCAAGGCCGCAGTACCGGTTCTCGGAATATTCCAAATGACGTGAATAATTTTGGGACAAAATTCTTTATTGTTCATTTATGTCTGTTTAATTAATATTTTTATTTTATTTTATTTATTTTTTTAAAAAAAAAGGAGATACGATTCTGTGATATTTAAAAAAAAAAAAAAAAAAAAAAAAACAAACAAAAAAAAAACAAACAGAAAAAAAACAATCAAACAATTCCCAACTTTTTTTTTGTCTCTTGCAGGTTATTTGGAACAACCGGATATTGTTCTGCGTGTTCTAAAATGATTCCAGCATTCGAATTGGTCATGCGGGCCAAAAGTAATGTGTATCATTTAGAATGCTTTGCTTGTCAACAGTGTAATCACAGGTAACTATTTTCTTCATATTATTCATATGTATTCTCACAGTAAGCTCGTGTGTTCTGGTGGTTTGATAAATAACGTATTGGAATTGTTGATCGGAGAGCCGAGTTCCAATTCCAGTTGGAATCGTTATATTCGCTTACTTGAGAAAGGCTTGAACCCACCTCTTCTCCGCCAGCTATGAGTTAATTACTAATATTTTTTTTGCTAAATAATTATTATTTTTATCTGGGGAAAAATATATTAAACATTTTCGGTAATGAAGTAAGAATTATATAGAAAAGAAAGAGAATAAATATTAAGGGATTTTTGTAAAAGGAACTCATTTTCATTCTTTTCTTTCATCTCGAGAAACGCCAGCTTAGCGGAAAAAGTACTGAGGATTTATTATTTAAGCATATATGCACACACACACACCCATACGTTTCTTTCTTTCGCTTTTGGATCTGATGAATCTGAAAAGACGAGACGTGTAATCAAATCTAGTTTTAAAGAAATGTTTTCAATTGACATATATATATATATATATATATATATATATATATATATATATATATCCCTTATTTCATGTATGATGGACTCTCCCTCTTGTCAAAATTATATTTGGGCAGGAGAGTCTATCATACATAAAATAAGGAGTTACGTTTTAATCATCTTGTGTGTGTATATATATATATATATATATATATATATATATATATATATATATATATATATATATATATATATATATATATATATATCGTCGGCATCCGTCCGTCTCGGAGTCACGATGGAGTAGCGCCTCGGTGCGCCTGAGCCTGGGCGGGATATATGGAGAACTAAGGCTGCCAGACGTCTAGTTCCCCCCTCTCGGACTTGCTAGCAGAGTCCAAAGGAGAGGATGAAACCAATACAGTTTGGTACCAGCGCGGCTGCAGGAGTTGCCAGAAGGTAGCACAAAGTGCCGTCCATCCCCTTAGGGGCTCCACTCCGAGTTTCAATTCAGAGTTGTCCTTCGCCTAGACCAGTTGCCATCCAAGGCTATAGAACCCAGTCTGTCTTGCTATTTACCCATAGCTGGAGGGAGAAGAAGAGGATTCACATCTTTCTCAAAGGTATTAGCACGTAAGTGAATGTAATGTGTGTGTGTGTGTGTGTATATATATATATATAAAATATGATAATTGTGCATGTCCCTCCCTTAATTAGTTTTCATGTTTACCTCATAAATAATGGACTATTCTCTTTTGCCCGCGTAGAAACACGGACATGATATATTAGAGACGCTACTTCGTTTTAGTGAAGGAAGAAAGGAAGGAAGGAAGGAAGGAAGGAAGGAAGGAAGGAAGGAAGGAAGGAAGGAAGGAAGGAAGGAAGGAAGGAAGGAAGGAAGGAAGGAAGGAATGTATGTATGTATGTACGTTTGACGCCTGTTTCAGTGAAATGGAAATATTGTCAATATGAAATCTTTTCATTTGTACCCCCTTACTTCTTAAAATCACGACTCGCATTCAAATTTATGCTTGTTCTTGTAATATTTTGTCAAAGCTGTTAAGCTCAGATAATTTACGATGGCACAGGGGAAAATTCCACGGATGTTTTATTGTCGTAGAACTCAACATGAGCTTACTCAAATGATTGATTGAAGAATTAATATTAGGTTGGTGCAAAAATAATGACGTAATAATGTCGTTTTTTGACGTTAAAAAATACGTCAAAAAACGTCATTATTACGCCATTATTTTGCACCAATCTAATAGGATTTATAAGGATATTAAAATTGGGAAAATCGTGAAATTTACCCGGGAATTTCTGGATGTTAAACCTTTCATTTGTTTTAATTTTGTCGTTGCAGATTCTGCGTTGGAGACCGATTCTACCTGTGTGATAACAAAATCCTGTGTGAATACGATTACGAGGAACGTATGGTGTTCGCCAACATGAGCTACAACTATAACGCTCTGTCACATCTGAAGCGACAAGCCCACAATCTCAGCGACGATGTATCCAGCGGGTATGGCAGCCCGAGTCCGAACTCCCTCTGAAATAAAGGGCAGCAACGGTTGAGATCGCAAACACTGCCCCCGGCGCCGGGGCCGCAGCCGGGATCGGAGCCGTGTCTTGTCGGTGCCTCCGTTGCTGCAACCGTCGCCTCTGACATGACAAATTCGCATTCAGCCACCCCCACCACCCCCACCTCCGCTACGACCACCACCTCGACCCATAATAATAATAATAATAATATTAATAGTAACAATGCTTCCGTTAATGTCAGTAATATTCACAACATGATTATCAATAATAATAATAATAATACGATTGCCACTTCTTCCGGAGCGGAGAGCGCACGCTACAATATCACGTCGTCTTCGTCTACCAATTCTTCTTCGTCAGGTCCTTCTTCTTCTTCGACGTCAAGTGACGTCACGTTGGCTGTTGCCAGCGTTGGTAGGGTTAATTTAGCAACGATGGCTTCTACCGGTCCAGCCATTGTGACGACCACTGATATTACGACAGGTCCTGTATCCTCATACCAAGACATATCCAGTAACTACCATCAGGCAACCTGAAACTAACCAGTCGACCTCAGTTCACCGACAACGAATATACGTTAACAACAACAACATATATATATATATATATATATATATATATATATATATATATATATATATATATATATAGGCACATGAATATGTTTATATATACATGTGTATTTAGTAACGCGGTGAAAAAAATGTACCTTGAAACATATGAACAGACTGAATTATGTACGGCAGCCACGAGGGCTTTAGCGTTATTGGGTCCCTACACGAAGTAGGAAGCTCTTATAGACATGGTATAACACTTTGAATTCCTGTGGAAGCTATCTTTGAACAAATCTACCAAATGTAACGTTTTCCTTATGCACACGGACAATATTCATACATACGTACATATGTATATATACGCATATGCATCTCACACACACACACTCACGCAGCACACCTCGGCGTGGTGTAATGGTTAGCAAGGTTGTCTCTGTAGATCAGTTTCGACTGAATAGTGAGTTCGATCCTCACTAGATGCCCATACTTTCGGCCTTATGCTACATCTAATATACGCTTAGAAAATAACCATATATATATATATATATATATTTATGTTTCAACGCTGAAGTCCCCATATCCTGGATATATATCTCTTAAAGTCTATTATGAAACAGACTATCGCCTCTAATGTTGACTTCAATTCGCATTTATATTACACACATATAAATCTGTGATATTGATTTGTATATTTTTAAATATATAAAACTATATTTTATTCATATAATATATATATATATATATAATTATTTATTTCAATTTAATTTAAATATATACATAATTCAAATTGTTTTTATATTTATGTAATCGATTTGGAATCATATTTTAAATAAATAATTATATTTATGCTCTACTTTTGTATCGAGCACTATTTTTTAAAAATAATAACTAAAATACTAAGGGACTTTGGATTATTTACCTAACCAGTTCCTTCCTATTTTCTATATATTTTCACACACACAAATATATATATATATATATATATATATATATATATATATATATATATATATTCGTTTAAATATACACACCCTAGTAATGATACAATATGGTAATCCGTATTTATTCTAGAAGAATATAGATCCAGGGAGAGCTCTATGTCAAAAGTCAGAGCAAAATTATTATTAATTAAAGAATATCAAAGACTTAAAATTCCCGAAGAAATAGTTTTTATTTCACGTGAAGTCAAAAATTTCAAGTGTCTGATATTCTTTGTTTAATAATATATATACACATATACATATATACCTAAAATACACACACACACATATTTTGTTTTTTATTTAATAAGTAAAATAGCCAATAAGAGCTAGAAAAAAAAGGGGGTGATAAAAAGTGCTCAACTTTTTACAGCAGAGCTAATATTATTTACAAAAAATGTCTCCATCGCCCTGTTACTACTTAAAGATTCATGCAAACCTTAAAATTCACCAATCTTCAAAAAAAAAAACATTGAGTGCAGTTTAATTTTACGACCCCTAAGGGTCGATACGTTGAAAATGTAAAGTTAAACTGTGTCCAGGCTGGTCAGTACTTAGATGGGAGATCGCTTGGGACCAGTGGCTACAGTAAGTAAAATATATGCTACGTTTAAATTACCCCCGCTCTTACCACAAAAAAAAACAAAAAAACAAAAAAAAACTACTGATCGATCAGGGCGTCGGCTATATAGAATTTTTTTTTTATTTTGGGTTCGCCTTAATTAATATTTGACGTCGGCACTTTCTGCAAACCAAATTCGACTTGCCTGCAGATTCTGTCTTTTCACGCATTAATGAAAAACCAGTAATACAGATTGATACTTTTTTTGTAAATTGTATAAATATATATATATATATATATATATATATATATATATATATATATATATATATATAATTTTATACGAATTAAATTTAGAAAAACAATAATTTATTATTGTTAAAATAGGAAAACTCAATATCAATTTTTTCGACCAATGTAAAAATTTCAGGTAAAATTTTTTAGGAAATCGCCAGCAAAAATTACCATTTTTTTTCACTTATATATATATATATATATATATATATATATATATTTATATATATATATATATATATAAATATGATTAATAATGTAGCCATTATAATAAATATGTATAATAATTGGATTATTTACCAAATGAGTTCTTTTCCTATTTTTATATATTTTCACAAACAAACACACACATATACATATATATATATATATATATATATATATATATATATATATATATATATAAATATAAACTAAAAAGCAAAGTGATGAAAGCTTTTAAAACACATACACAAAAAAATAACAGAAATATTCGATTCTTTGGTTTTCGTTTTTGTCATTTTTTGCTTTTTCTAAAAATTACGGAATAATTTACTGATATCTAATTGCATATTTTTACTCAATTGTACACACAAAAATAAACAGCCAGTAAATGATTTGATGATGTCATTAGGTTTTAACGTGTCGCGGAATCTGCTTTTAGCATTCAATTTCCAAGATTTTATGCCCATTCAGGCCAAAAAGTACAAACTTTCACTCGAACCTTTATGCGGCTATTTAAATACCACTGACCGACGTCTTTCTCTCATTAATATTCAGGGAATGATTTTATTGTTTTTATGCTTCTCCTTTCTATCTACATGTTTATTCATATATATATATATATATATTTATAAATATAAATATTTATCTTTTAAATTTTCTTTTTTTTGTTTTTTTTTTTTCGCATAAACCAATATCCCATAATTATTCTATTTGGAAGATCTATCTAAAAGTATAAGGAGTTTATTCAACCCATTCCTACTATGAAATATTGTAAGAAATCTTATTTCCCTCAAACACGTCTTGGATAGAAATGGCAGATGAGTGATACAGTTTTACAATAACATACGATACATAGCAGTATTAGGAATAAAATACCTGGTATGATGTGTAATCTACGGTATTAATATTTTATAGGAGTTGATGTTGACTTTAATGTGTTTGTCATGAAACCTGACGAATTTAAAATGTTCAAAGAAGAAGACTGATACAATTTTTTATACCTATCGGTATGTTTTTTTCATCTTGCTTTACAACGCATATAAAATATATTACAATTTCTGTCTCAGTATACAGGTAAGTCCAGTTTCAGATTTATTTCTTAATGGCACTTTAATAAATATACACACACCGTAAAAACATACTTTCTTTGCTTTATTTTACATTATTTTTGAAGGTTACTTGAATTTACTCTCTCCATATTGTGTCATTTGTCTGGATCTTTCTTTTCTTATCAGATAAATACGAGTTAAAACATTTCAGAATACATTCTACATAGTGTATTTTATGAATATTCAGCTTATTGTATAATGTAGCCTAAATTCTTTTAACGGTAGGATTAACTCTTGGATCAACTATGTTTTTTCGGTGTCTATCTATACGATAGGTATAAAACAACAACACTGAATTTGGATCTAAAAATTTTAAAATTTCTCTTGTTCCCAGGTCGACTTTTTCTTTCAGTCGACTTATTCTCCACCAAAAGTATGAACAAGTCGATCCTCATCCGCCGAGACTAAACGTTTTGTTTATATTTTAAATGCGTTCGAGGTGTTCAGATCCTGGTACAATTTCAACTTTGAGCCCATTCCTTTGATTTCGATATGTTTTTTTATGTAGATATCTATGTATATGTCTATGCATGTATGTACATATCTATGTATGTATGTAATGGTAATTCACTACATATGGATTTGTCTGAACAACTTACATTTGACGTCGTTTCTATTATTTTTCTTCTTCTGTTTTCGTTCGGAAAGTGATTTGGATGAAAACTAACAACCAAAAAAAACTTGCACAAAAAATAATTAAACAAAAAGAAAATCTTTCGTAAAGAAAAATGATTTGGCTTTGTCTTTTTTTTTTTTTTTTTTTCCTTTGGCGATTATTTTTTTTCGGAAATTGTTTTTGAAAATATAAACAAAAAACAATTATAAAATAAAATCTGAGATGGTAGTTAATTCAAATGGTGGATTGCGACTATTTATTTCCCCAGAATATTAAAAATCCTTAATTTTCTTAACATCCAACCAATTTTTCATTTGAATTTATCATTTGTGTTCATTGTCATTCAATGAAGAAAATCACTAACAATGGCTTGCGAATGTAATAATTTTAACTAAAATTCATTCTTATGCAAGTCCTGAAAAAAAAAAAAGAAAAAAAAAACAGCTATTCGAATATTGATCTTCAAGGCGGTCAAATAATTCTGTTTTGGAAGACAGACAATCTTCCTAGCCCAGCGAATGGCAAAATGTTTAGCCTTGTGCCATACAGACTAAACTAATCATAGCAAATATTCGTTGAATTCTGCGGTAAACATTTCTTTTTTTTTCAAATCTGTCCTTAGCAATACAATAGAGAATGAAGGAAAGAAGAAATTTCTGTAGAAGAAGAAGAAGAAGAAGAAGAAGAAGAAGAAGAAGAAGAAAACGAAAAAGGAAGCAGAAATTGTAACTAAAAAAAGGAAATAATTATGAACACCGATTTCATATCATAAATAAAAACATTATATATATATATATATATATATATATATATATATACTGGGTTTCACGCTTTTGCAATCATCAGGCAAACTGCTTTTTCTGATGATCGCAAAATATTTATAAAAACGTCAGAAAACTCATATGCCATTTAACTTTCAAAAAAATCTCTATCACTGATATTGAGCGCTTTCCACTAATTACTGTGCATATATATATATGCTCTGTTTATGATAAACAGTATTAAATAACATTTACCGGCCTGAATGTCCGAGAAATTTTCATATGAAAATTTCGTTCATAGACAGGATTCGAACCTTGTCATCATATACGAACATTTGTGCCTTGACCAATGGGTGGCCACCATGAACCTTTTCCTAACAAGGTCGAACTTACTGTTATAAACTAATATCTTCCATGAATCTCGTACATTCATAACAGCTCATAAAATCGTTATTTAATACTGTTTATCATAAACAGAGCATTTGCTTAAATACTTGTATCTATAAAATAACAACGTTAAACATAAATAAAAAAAATGTCTTTAATAAATAAATTGTCGGACCTCGTCCATTTCTTAACATATGACGTCATTTGTTTACATTCGATACGCCAGAGCAGTTATGAATGTACGAGATTCATGGAAGATTGTAGTTTATAACAGTAAATTCGACCTTGTCTACCATAAGGTTCATGGTGGCCGAGTGGTCAAGGCACGTCAGCGTATATGACGGTTCCGTATAGGATGCAGGTTCGAATCCTGTCTATGAACGAATATTTTCTATGAAAATTTCTCGGACATTCAGGCCGGTAAATGTTATTTAATACTATTTATGTAAAAAAATTTGTAGAATTAATCTGTAAAAAAACAATATGTAAAAATAAAAAAAGACAACAAAAAATGTATGTTGTTTTTTAATATATATATATAAATATTATGGCTAAAATTACATAAAGTTTTTTTGCTGTTTTTTCCTTTTTATTTATATATATATATATATATATATATATATATATATATATATATATATTAAACAGACAAATGAAATGATATGGACATTATTATTATTATTATTATTATTATTATTATTATTATTATTATCATTTCGTGTGCATATCTTCTTCCTTTTACCCCCCACTTTTACCATTCTCCTAAAAAAGACATTTTTTGTACAATGTAAATAATATTCAATATTCTTTGTTTTTTGTTGTTTTATTATATGACAATAATTATTATTTTGTAAATCTGTTCCTGTCTTCATGGAGTGGGGGGAGTATAAAGTTCTAAATGATAAATAAATATATAAGTAAATAAAATACACTCTTCTTGAATATCTCCCCCCACCTCATAAAAAAGTTGATATAAAATTAAAAAAAACAACTAATTTAAAAAAGGTCGATTTAAAATTTGAGAGAAGAAACTGACAAAAAAAAACAACAGCATTTTAAAATTAATGTAAATAAAGAAACAAACAAGAAACAAACCAGAAAAAGAAACAAGCCAAAAAGAAACAAACCAAAAAGACAAACAAGCCAAAAAAGAAACACGCCAAAGAAGAATCAAACCAAAAAAGAAACATGACAAAAAAGAAACAAACCAAAAAAGAAACAAATCAAAAAAGAAACACGCTAAAAAAAGAAACAAACCAAAAAAGAAACACGCCAAAAAAGAAACAAACCAAAAAAGAAACACGACAAAAAAGAAACAAACCAAAAAGAAACACGACAAAAAAGAAACAAACCAAAAAAGAAACACGCCAAAAAAGAAACAAACAAAAAGAAACAAGCAAAAAAAAACAACCCCAAAAAGAAGCAAACCAAAACAGGAAACAAGCCAAAAAAGAAACAAAACAACAAAAAAAAGAAACAAATCAAAAAAGAAAAAGAAACAAATAAAAGAAAACAATTTTATTTCCACTTTTGTTCCCCTCGTCCCCATATCCAGCCAAAAGAGCCTGTGTAGAGTTCACTTTTACGATCTCCTACTGAACATTGTCCGAGTTTCCGTTGTCGCATATCTTTTGTAAAAAAAAAATGCTCATCTATAACTGATGAAAAAACAAATGTATAAAGAAATTGATTTGACTTTAAAATGTTTGTAGTAGTGATTTCGATCCTCACTGGGTGCCCTGTACATTCGGCCTTGAGCCACGAATAAGTTACAGTTAGTAAATCACTATAAGTCTGCTTGTCCCTCCTTTGGTTACTCAGCGGGCCATTACCTCGCATAAACAATTGACCATTCCTGGTTGATTACGAGCTTAGACGGAAGAAAAACTATATCAAAGGCATAGTTTGCTTTTAGAGAAAGAAAAAAAAAGAAAAAATGAAAGAAAGAAAGAAGGGAAAGAAAGAAAGAAGGGAAAGAAAGAAAGAAAGAAAGAAAGAAAGAAAGACGAAAGACATTGATAATACTCTTTACGTGTTTAATGATAGCTAAAAGGAATGGAAGACCTTAGCAATTGTTAACCGTGATATTTGTCACCTCTGAATTACTTATTTGTTTTAAAACTTTATTAAATTAAATAAAGTGGCTTACGGCCATATGACGTTGAAAAACCGGTTCTCGTTCGATCGCCGAAGTTGAGCAACGTCAAGCCTGGTCAGTACTAAGATGTGTGCTGTAAGCTTCGATGTGTGGGTGGTATAATGGGATAATGACTCAGAATCGTGAAACGGAGAGCTGAGTTCCAATTCCAGTCGGATGTCCACCTGTTCTCCCCCAATATATGGGTTAATTAGTAATATGTGTATCGCTAAATCATTATTAACTAAAAAAAACTATATTACAATCTAAAATTATTCTCTTGCTTTAAATAAACTGCAAAGGGTAGATAACCCGAAGAAAAACAAATCTGGAATTGAGTAAATCCTTCATATTTCATTATTCACTTTCACTGACATACCATAGGGTTTCTATGGGCGTAATATTAAATTTAGCATAGGATTATTTCATTATCATCTTATACAATTAGCAAAATTTTCAAATGGATTGAAACATTCTACGAGGCATGAGAAAAGATTAAAGAAAGAAAGAAAGAAAGAAAGATAGGATAGAGAAGGCGATAAAATTAATGTCTTTAACGTCTGCTTCTATGAAATGGAAAACCGTTTCAATTTTGAATATTTAAATAACGACCGGCATTCATATTTATGATTGTGATTACAACATTTTGTTGAGCTCAAATATTTAACGATGTAACAGGGGAATTTTCACGGATATTTTATAGCCGTTGAGCTCTCAATGAGCTTATTCAATCATTAATTTAAGAATTAAGATTCATCAGAAAATTGAAACATTAAATCCATGAAATTTTAACTGGTATTACTAATATAAATTATTCCCAGTTGAGAATCGTTGTATTTAGCGTTTCTTAAGAAGAGATATGCTTTCACAGGAATCCAGGCATTGGTTCAGACCAGTTCGTTTCTGCTAATTTTTTTTTTTTTTAAGACCGACTCTTTTAGAATACGTAACATTTTTGTATATATTTTCAATCATCTCATATTAAATTCCCCCACCTCTCGTGACTAGTCATCAGACACCCAGAATAACTACCCCAGGCTTACTTCATGTAATAGCAGAAACGAGTAACAATAATAAAATTAACAATAAAAAATATTACAACAGTAATATTAGGCTCCCTGATGTCGGCTAATGTACACCGAAATAGCCTGACCATTTGCAATGATATTGACGCTCATTAAGCGGCCTATATATTTGGCTTTGTATTGAAACTAGGCTATGCTAAGCTTGGTACGTATTTGGGGCACTTGGGTGTTTGGGTAATGGTTAAAGAGCTACTCTGGTTGAACACTAGTAATGAGTAGTAAATTATATACTGACTCCATGCTTCAAAGCTAAGGCCATGCGCCAGACTAAATTGAATTTAGTTAATAATGATGATAGCAAGAATATGGATGTAAATTTTTTTAAAATCTTCAGCTACTAAAATCAACAAAATTAATTCCCCAATTTCAAAACAGACTGTGTTCGACATCCAGACGCTACAACAAAATACATTTATACATACATAAATGCACACACACGCACACACAAATGCACACACACACACACACACAGATATATATATATATATATATATATATATATATCAGCATAATACTAAGATTATATTTCTTCATATATATATATATATATATATATATATATATATATATATATATATGAGATAATTTGAATTATGATTTATATATATATATATATCAGAAAATTGTTAGGTTATATTAACGAATTAATTAAATTAACAAAGTGGAAAAAAAAACTTTGTGTGACGTCCCACAATTTTCAGCGTTTCCGGTCTATGCGTAATAAAAAATAAAGCGTACTTTTTTTATATATACCCCTCTCCTTCATGCGCATATATACTTCCATCAATAAAAATCATTGCTTTAGTTCGATGAGGCCCTAAAGGACGAAGCATAACACACAATTTTTTTTTCTCACGTTGTCATTAATTTGCCTAAAATCTACGTATGTAAATTAGATTTTCTTTTTGTCATGTTCATGTATGTATTCCACACATAAAATAAGAACAAAATATATATATATATATATATATATATATATATATATATATATATATATATATATATATATATATATATATATATAACATATATATATATATATATATATAAAACATTCCCAAAATGGTGGGAATAGTCCCAAGGAGGATGAAATCTGAGAGCTCAATCACAATCTCTAACTAATATTTTAAAGAAAAACAGACCTTTAAGGTTTCCATCATGCAATTTATTTCACAGAGCCCTTTTTAAATGTTATGCCGGATCATCAGATAAAAATTTCTTAGGAAGTGCTAATTGATGATCCATCAAAACAAAAATAAAAAGTGAAATAAATTATTAATTGGGGAAACAATAAATGGGACCCTTTCAACACCCTGTTTTATGCAATATATATATATATATATATATATATATATATATATATATATATAAGCGTATTTTTTAAAAAAAATAACCTTAAAAATAAATGCACCACTAAATATTGGATATGAAACCCTGCTCATGTGTCAGAATATATTTTTGTGTATAGACATATGTGCATATATATATATATATATATATATATATATATATATATATATATATATATAAAATGTCTTCTATAAAACTTAATATTGAGACATATTAAAAAAAATTTTCTTAATTTTCAAGCCTTATGTTGAAACCTGAAGAGCAGGATGAAACCAGTTGCTTGGCACCCGTTGTTTTTTTTTTCTGATCAGTAATATTAAGTTTTATAGGGTTTTCGATTATAAATTTTGTACCTACAAAATATATTTAAATAAATATATATATATATATATATATATATATATATATATATATATATGAATGCAAGTAAGTTTGACTATGATTGTATCGATTTTTATATACCTTGTTCGATGGCCTATAAGATCTGTTCTTAGCCCACCAAATATTAAATATTGAATAACTTAAATCTCTCATGAAATTATCACAGATTCATAAAGAATTTAGCTTCTTTTTGAACTAGGTCACATGGAGAATATAAATTTAATTTCGATGTATCAATATACTTTTTGAAAATTCCTTGTATTCTTGTCAGCGATCAAATCATGTCGCTTATAGTAATCTATCCAGAGAACGCCATTAATCTGTTTTTTGTTTGTTTGTTTGTTTTTTGTTTTTTTATGACGGGAATGTGTATGGTTATAAGTAATGTTTTATTTGTGCAAGTTTGATTGGAGTTCCTTAAGAACATTTATTTAAACTTCCTATAGTTTCGCATATCTTTCTTATTTTCCGTGAGTATCTTAACATTACTAATCCAATAGTGTTGTTGTTTTTGGTTTTTTTGGCGCCTAGAAACACAGGACAGTTTATGTTCAAATCGCCATCGTTTGAATATTTGCCATGAGAAGAACGATAGACGAGTAACCGGCTTGCCACGTTGCGTACGCGTGCTCGCCTGCCTCTCTTTTTAATCTATCACTACACCCGTAGAAAAGTTCAGATGACATTTATTCTTTAGCGCCACCAAGACACGCATTGATACGTCCACAGGGTTGAATCATCCCCATTCTCCCCGTATTTAGTTGGTAAGAAGTAAGTTTTACTCGGACAGCGGGACTACATTCCCCAACGCTAAAATCTTAACCTTTTCAAGTCGAGAGCCAATCGTTAACAATATACTACATATCTTCTTAACGTTCAATTACTACTTTCAGTAACACTCTACTTTGAGTGGCTCTTCATACTTGTACGCGGTGGAAATTAGTGAGAAAAAAAAATGAGGAAAAAGAAAAAAAAAATCAGAAAATGGTCCCAACTATAGAAAAAAATATTAATCAATATTTTCATAAATTAAAAATTACTGCCAAAATTCAGCTATAATATTTGTGAATATATGTGCAACTGACATCGTTTATATACGTTTTACATATCAACACTGAGATATACAAAAGTCTAAGACTATATCTCTGTAAAGTTCATTAGATGTCTCCCTTATTCTGTTTACATTACATAACCTTGTCAAGAAGCAAAGCAAATAAATAAATAAATAAAAGAAACAACTAAAACAATATTTATTTTCTTCCTGGAATATTCGTTAATATTCCTGGGCACACAACTCCAAAAATAAATAAATATATAATTAAATAAAAAATAAAACAATGAAAGAAAAAAAAAACCCACAACAAAGCGTTTAACTAAGCTCTGTTTTTTAGCCACTCTCGTCATGAAAGCTAAATCCTTCAGCACGCATTCAGACATTTACAACATCCGGAAACGTAACAAATCCCCCAAAAAACAAAACACGCATGCGTTCGCACATGCGCAGTTAATTTTAATTCACGCATTAAAATAAACATTTACGCCCCACTTTCAAAACGAATTTTCACAACAAAAAAAAAAAAAAAAAAAAAAAAAGAA